ATTTAGTTTGTATAGAGCGTTATACGAATATCGCAAACTTGACCACTGGATTATGACCAGACCACCTTCCCATAGATTATCGGACCCCGATATTCTTAATTTAGCATGGTTAAGCTATATAATCATGTAGGTTTTAATTTAATAAGAGTTGTACAGCGAGTGACACCCCATTGTAAGAATTACTTATAGTTTTATTTAACGGATGAGATTCAACGAAATTTGAACAAATAATGTGACACAAACTTGCTTGTTTATATTGTTTGAATTCATGTCTCAATAGCGATGTATATGTCATCACTTGATTCAGAAGAAGAGCACAAGACTGCAGAGGAAATTCTCCTCAAAATTGGACACTTGTTTCAGGTGCAGGACGACTATCTGGACTGTTATGGAGACCCGGCTATTATCGGAAAAATAGGCACTGATATAGAGGAGGGAAAATGTAGCTGGCTTATCATATCTGCCTTCAAACTGTGTGATCAGAAACAGAGGGCTATTATTGAGGAGAATTGTGGCGTAAAAGATGGCGATTGTGTCCGAAGAGTGAAAGAAGTTTATAACAAACTCAACCTTAAAGACCATTTCAAGAAAGAAGAGGAAAGGCTTTACAAAGAGATTTGTCTTATGATTGAGAACTTGAAAAATAAAAGCCAATTGAGTCCTAAAATATTCATTGAGTTTTTGGGGAAAATTTATAAAAGAGAAAAATAGACAGTGTCTACTAGACACATTAAGTAATTTCAATTAGGTTTACTAAATTATAATACTTTAGGTTTTATTTGTTTCCAATAACAAAGATATACAAATTAATAGGATTAATCAAATACTGTTTACTAAAATGATAAATTTGATTTTGTATTTTATTTTAAAGGAAGTTTGTAACAAAATTATTTATAAATATAATCTAATTATTAATTGAAATTTATAAATGACGTACAGCTAACTAGTCACTATTTTTTTTAAAAAATTATCAAATAAATTGTATGCTCTTGGTTTAAATAAACTCATTAATGATAAAAGGACTGACAGTTTGTGGTTGTGTGAGATGGACGTGATGGTGTCCGTCCACTTGAATAAATTTAAAAGTTCTGCATTTTTTACGATAAAACTCAATGACCTTATCGTTAACTTCTTCAGAGCTAATCTTTAGTCCATTTTTGGCTATAATTATAATGAGATCGCATTTCATGGGCCCATAGAAGTCGAGGAGAGATTCACAACTAAATTGCTGAACAAAAATCAATTTCGTTCTGATATCGCGACTGAAATACTCTCCCTTTCCATCCGATGACACCTTTGANAAAATCAATTTAGTTCTGATATCGCGACTGAAATACTCTCCCTTTCCATCCGATGACACCTTTGATCCCCGGCTCAGAAGACACTCAATCGCCTCTTCATTAATATCTTTGTAAATGGCGGTCGAGCTCTTCATTCTCTCTATCATTGTCTTGTGATCATAAACCGGAGGAATACTATTCTTTTGGTCCATTTGGACGAATACTTTGGTGATATCGGCCACCTTTTGGGGCCATTTATCCCATGGATAACAGAATGACTTAATTGTATCCAATAATATGACTTTTGTGACGGATTGTGGATAAAGACTTGAATATAAGAGACCAATCATTCCTCCCATGGAATGGCCTAATATAGTGAACTCATTCCACTCCATGTAATCGACTATCCGCTTGACTTCTATGAGAAACATGATGTCAGTGTACGGACAGCCGGGTGGCAAATGTGATGACAGTCCGTGTCCCGGAAGATCAACTGCCAGAATGTATAGAGATTCTGGTAGAAGGGGAACGAGTGTATCAAAAGTGCCGGCGTTGTCCTGCCATCCATGGATTGCCAGCACTTTGTGGCTATGGGAGTCACTATTACCCCAAGCCTTAGCCATAATCCGTCCGTAAGGAACCGGTATCTTCATCTCAATGAACTCTTTCGGCATTTTATCAAATTTTTAATTCACGTGTAGTTATGTTAGGAAACTGTATACGATTTAAACATTATATTATTTAAATACATTATTTACAAAAGAGAAGCAAATTGAGTTTTATAGTAATAATATTTCATTAATTTATTGTTTCAATTAAGGTATTCCTAAATATTGTATGCATTTGTATAATAAATATTATATATTTTAGGAAAACAGATTTATTACATTTTTTCCGATTAATTTTGAAATGTTTGAAATGTTAATAAAATAACAGAATATTAAGTAAGACACATTAAAAACTACATAAAAGGTAAATTAGACAAATATCTATAAATACTGCATATATTATATTAATAATTTATTGTGTACGAGATCATAATTTAAAAGAATTAATTACAAATTGGTAAAAATAAATCAGTTATTCAAAAGAAACTGATTTTCTGGCGACTGTCCAAAAACACACAGCCATTTATAAAAATATCTTGAATATATTCAGTAAATAGCAAATAAATAAAAGAAATAAAAAATTATTGTATTAATTAAAATATATTATAATTTATTGAATCCAAGGCTTCAATGATTTACTCATTTATTATGATTTTGTGTGGAAGTCTGTGTCAGACAATCATTTGTATTCATATGCTATTTGATTAGTTCCTCATTTGTATATCTATGGCTAATACGTGAAATCAAATTCACTTTCATTTATATTTTAATTCACAATAACGTGTAATTTATTTAGAAAATACAATATTTTGAATATGTATACGAAATAAATTTTGTGTTGATATTTGATAGTATAAACCAGTATTTAACAAAATTTATGTATAAAATTATAAGTCAGGAATTATATTTTAAGTAAAAATTATCAAATTATTCATCAAATTTGTTTAAAAATATTTTTAAAAATAATTACTTTTATCAACTTTTAAAGACATTGAAATTGTTTTAATTAAATATATTTCCAAAATCAATGTTTACTATATTTGATAAAAATAAATATTTGGGTAAAATAAATCCAAAAATAATTTATTGTTTATTATTTATAAACAATACAGGCACAACACCTTTACAAACAATAGTAGTATGTGTTAAAAGACACCTTTATATTAGGGCTGAACACTAGTAACTAATTCAATGAAATAAAACTTCAGAGTTTGTCCAAAAGTTATTAATCAATCCTTACATTTGAATGCAAACCAAAAGAACTTGAAGTCAAGGATATGTTTGTGAAATAAAAAGTGGTTTTTAGTTCAAT